TGCAGACTGTACATTTTAATCGAGTTAGTAACTGATACAGTAGCGCGGCCGCGTGGGTGTTATTTGTTATAACATATTTAGTCTGACTGACTCTCTCCAACGCCGTCGTCTCTCTCTGCTCTCTCTCTCTCTCTTCTCTCTCTGCTCTCTTTTCTCTCTCTCTTTCTCTCTCTCGCTCTCTCTCTCTCTTCAATAAACAAAATGTTTGCTGAAATGATGTGTACGCAACTGCATATCTGTATATCTGCGCCTAACAAAGGTGTCACTACGCACGACTGAAATGTTACGTTTATAATCGTAGCAACAGACCTCAGATGAGCCCAGTCGCTCTGCGGCACTTGTATCATTTTTCTGAAGTCTATCCGAACTAGCCGTCATCATGGTTGCCATTTCTCTTCTTCTTGCAGCAAGGAAAAGTCCGACGCACAGAAGAAGAAGAAGAAGACGGACAGCTCCCACTCCTCCCTCGGAGACCTTCCTCCTCTCGGAAAGGCTCCTCCTTCGGACCCTACCGACGGTCAGTAGATACGGCCGCTGCTGGTCATCAACTTAAAAAATATAAAGACCGTTTGCTTCGTGAAGTGCTTACAGGTTATTTACGACTCGAAATCAGACCCTCCCATTCATACATCTCGAAATCGGACCCTCCCGCTCAGACTTCTCTGTATCAGACCCTCCCGTTGGTCAGTATATACAGTCGCTGGTGGTCATCAACTATAAAAATATGAAGATCTTTTGCTTTGTGAAGTGCTTACAGGTTATTTCAATTCGAAAAGTTTGTAAATCTGCTGAGCCACAGTACGGGCGATTGTTATTGCGTCGAGTTGATTCAGTATTGCTACGTTCATTCTTATTGATATATTATTGATGTATGATTAGGTTATTAAATAGATGTTATTGATAACATTATTGATTTTATATTATTGATATACGATTAGGTTACTGAGTAGATGTTATTGATCATATTATTAAGACCATGCGGATTAGTTGTTATTATTATTTTTTCGTTATTCTAGTGGCTGTAGCAGCCGCAGCAACAGCAGCAGCAGTTGTAGTACTAATTAAACGTGAATCTATAAGATGCAGGGATGAGATTCTTCCGCGGATTTGAAAGTCCCAGGGGTCGATTTTGTGAAACATCTAAATTCGTTGAGAAAATTGGGAGGGGGTAACAATGTAACAATTTAAATTATATACCCTCAACAGCACCGTAGCAGCAGACTGTAGAGTATAGACAGTAGGCTGACAGCGAAGTATACTGTGTATCTGTTTTTGCGTGCCAGAAAAGAAAATCCTCGTTCACAGGCTGCAGTAGAGGGGCAGACATTTGAGGTAGCTGATCACGTAACGACCATGCCTGGCCTGGGGGCCGGGTTTACATGTTGCTGCGTGCATGTTGTGTGCATGACTATGCACTGATTGTTCCATTCGCATACATGTTGCTGCGTGCATGTTGTGTGCATGACTATGCACTGATTGTTCCATTCGCATTGTGTTTTTTTCATTCAAATCTGGTCGCAGCAAGGCAGCTTATGTCTGAGTAAAACAATGCAAGCGACGGGTGGAAACATAAAAATATCATTATGTCTAGAGACTCTAGACATTTAATAAAAAAAACTTGCCCTATTTTCAGCCCCCTGATTTCCTATTATAGTTCGTTTGTTCCTTTTGACAACTTGAAAAGGTGATTCAAGAGTCTCCTATAATTTGTTCAGAATAGCTTAGAATGCACCAAATTGCACCATTCTTTTAAAAAAATTACGGGGGAGCATGCCCCCGGACCCCCCTAGCATGGCAATGACCTACGGTCCTCGCATTGCTCGCTCCTCTGTTTGCTAATTAAAATTTCAGCTGAAAATTAAATTATCCAATCTCATCCCTGAAGATGTGATGATCGGATGCTTATTGCGCGTAAATGTGAATTGTAATCGAACCGTGTCGTCTCAACGAAATGCTTTGCTTTGCTTCTCATCCTGCCACCGACGGTCCACGCGTGTCTGCGTCGTGCGCGTATCCAGTTTAGAAATAAGGGAAACATTTTGCTTGTCCGACGGACAAGCAACAAGATATTTTTGCTTGTCCTGCAAAATTTTTGCTTGTCTTGATTAATAACATAGAAATATAGTAAATGTGTAATACATTCAATCAAATTAAATTTTAGACCCACTACTTTACTTTGTAATATTATTTTAATACAGTTCACTAACAGTTTAAATCAGGCACCAAAATTGAAAGAACATAAAGAAGAGAAATTGCTCTAAATTCTAAAAGGTTGCTCTAAAAAGCTGCTTGTCCAGCGGACTAGCTACTGGACATGTCTACTTGTCCTCCATGGAAATGGACAAGTGAGGACAAACGGATAGCCCTTATTTCGAACACTGGTATCCTCGTGTTTGCTCACCCATGTGCTCATCGTTGTTCTGTCTTTGTTCGCTGCAGATCCCAACCCAAAGAAGGCGACGGAGGAACGAGACTGGAAGGAACTGGAGAAGATCAATAAGCGAATCAAGGAGCTCGGCTTCGGTATGCGTGCGAGCGGCGCAGTAGCGTTTATTACCGAGGCCACAATTAAAAAAAAATTTGTTTTTATCTCACCCGACCCAGGCTGAAAAGTTTGGGTAGGTAAGTAGGCTTTTTTTAGGTGGTCTTTTTAGCTCATCTGACATAGTCAGATGCAGCTTGTAGAATCGCATGATCGTCCGTCCGTCCGTCCGTCAACAGTTGGGCACAAATCTTAACCGCACGACGTACGGTCACGATATTCGGGACGTTGGGGGGATCGTCAAAACGAGTTGGGATGTCGAAGCTGGGGGGTCAAAGGTCAAGAGGTGTAAAAGAAGGGAACATTCCCTCCTTAACTTAAGGTATAGGGAGGAAATGCAGAAGAGAATGAGAAAGAGGGAGACAACGAGGGAGAGTGAGTGTGAGCGAGCGAGAGAGAGAGCGTGAAGGGAAGAGAGAGCAAGAGAGAGAGAGAGAGAGTGATCGAGCGAGAGAGAGAGGGAGAGAGAGAGAGAGAGTGTGATCGAGGGAGAGAGAGAGGGAGAGAGAGCCCGAAGGGAAGAGAGAGCAAGAGCGAGAGAGCGAAAGAGAAAGAATGAGAGAGAGAGAGAGTGTGATCGAGCGAGAGAGAGAGGGAGAGAGAGAGCCCGAAGGGAAGAGAGAGCAAGAGCGAGAGAGCGAAAGAGAAAGAATGAGAGAGACAACGCGGCGATGGGAGGGTGCTCTTGATTCGTTTGCCAGTGAGTTTAGCATCAGAACACCTGCCGTCAGGTGAGCGCTGTCGCTCTGCAGCACTTGTTACAAATTCAGCATGGTGTCTACATATGCTCAGGTGTGCTTGTGTGGAGATACCTTTTATGTTGAATGTTCGTTTTGCTTGGTACATATAATGTATTGCCTACAGATTTATGTACAGTGATACAATTTGTTTAAAAAAAAAGTTCAATAATTTTTTTCGCGGCGGGCCCTTTTTGGCGGGTCGGTCGGGTGAGGGAAAACAAACAATATTTTTATTATGGCCTGAGCTTATATATTATTCATCATAGCTGAGCCGTGAAAGTCGCGGGATGCGACGATGACGTCAGATTGAATGATGCCGCTATGTGATGTTATTTATTAGTAAAGTTTATGATGTGATGTTATTTACTCTTAGTATTTTCTCACTATTAGGAGTGACTGCGTACTCATTCTCTCTATGTTGGGAGAGAGAGAGGGGGAGAGAGAGAGAGCGGGAGAGAGAGAGAGAGCGCGAGAGAGAGAGAGAGAGAGAGCACGAGAGAGAGAGAGGGAGAGGGGGGAGAGAGAGAAGAGAGAGAGGGGGAGAAGAGAGAAGAGAGAGCACGCAGAGAGAGAGGGGGGGGAGAGAGAGTGAGAGGGGAGAGAGAGAGAGAGAGAGTGGTGCGCAGAGATTGAGGGAGAGGAAGCAGAAGGGGGGGAGAGAGAGAGAGCACGAGAGAGGCGAGAGAGAGAGAGCAGCGAGAGGGGGGAGAGAGATGAGAGAGAGGCACGAGAAGAGAGAGGGAGAGGAGAGAGAGAGAGGAGAGAGAGGGGGGGGCAGAAAGTAGGGGGGAGTGAGAGGGGAGAGAGAGCAGAGGGAGAGAGAGAGGGGGGAGGAGAGAGAGAGAGGGGGGGGAGAGACTCAGAGAGGGGGGGGGGAGAGGAATAGTGGTGCACATGGGTTGTGAGCTGGTGGGTGGAGAGACAGAAGGCAAGGTGAAGAGAAACAGAGAGAGAGGGAGAGAGAAATGAGGAGACTGGGAGAGAGAGCGAGAGAGAGAGAGAGTGAGGACAAGAAGGATAGCGAGCGAGAGAGAGAGAGAGAGAGAGAGAGAGAGCGAGAAAAGGAACAGAGAGAGAGACAGCGACATGAGAGTTAGCTGGAATGGATCTTACTCATACTGAACTCTCTCTCTCTCTCTCTCGCTCTCTCTCTTCTCGCCCCCCTCTCGCCCTCTATCTCTCCCCCTCCCTCCCCCTCTCTCTCGCTCTCTCACGTCGCGCGTCGTTTCCAGAGCTGCCCGATGACCAGAACTACGATGAGGACTTCTCTCCCAGCTCCTCCTCCTCCGCGGCCTCCTCCACCTCCACCGGCGTCTCCGTAAGCAAGAGCAGCAAGTCTAGTCACAGGTCGAAAACAAGCGAGCGTTCGAAGGCGCCGAAAAAGTTTGCGGCCGCCTCGGAGGCGAATCCCAACAAGCCAGACACGCAGAGTCAGGTAGCGAGCGTCTATTCTTAATCTTAATTAGCACTAATTAATCTTAATGAACTTTAATTGTTACTAATTAATACTAATTAACGTAATTAATCTTAATTAATCTTAATTGCACGTCTAACGAGAACGCACACTCGCGGAAAGTTCTGCCATGCGTCCGTCGCACGTGTCTTGGAACAATTTTTGAGCCGTGAAGTCGTGGAATGCGACGATGACGTGAGATTGAATGATGTGTGTGATGTTATTATTAGTAGAGTATATGATGTGATGTTATTACCTCCGTGCAAACGGAGGTCATGCAATCGCTCGCACGGGTGTGTGTGTGTGTGTGTAGCCACCGCGTAATCGATAGCGCGTCGAGTCAGCGAGTGGCGAGTCAGCAGCAGCCACCAGTGAGCGGCGAGTCAGCCAGCGCGATCGATAGCGCGTCGAGTCAGCGAGTGGCGAGTCAGCAGCAGCCACCAGTGAGCGGCGAGTCAGCAGCAGGCGAGTCAGTCAGCAGCCGCCACCAGCGAGCACATACATGTTACATGCTCGCGGAGGTATGCACTCTCCGTGAGTGCCCTCTGTCTAGTTTACTCTTATATCGGGTGTTTGTGTGTGTGTGTGTGTGTGTGTGTTGCTAATATATAATATGTCAGGTTCGTGTTGCAGTGAGTTATATATAGGCAGGGTGCGAAATTTACGGGAGTCCGGAGTCAAATACTCCCTGATTTACTGTCGGACTCCGTGTGACTCCCTGAAAATTCTGCGATACTGACTAGTTCCTTCTGGAGCACGGCTTCGCGGAATTACCGTATTTTTCAGCTAATGTC